GTCATCCCGATCCCTGGAAGAAATAAGACGGATAAGCAAAGACTTGGCTGGAGACATTGTCTGAGCTCACGCTGATGTCTTTATTGAGCTGGCAGCGTACCGGGAGATAACAACAGAAGATAGATTTGCTGATCTTGCTTACAGATATTAGACGTGATCGAGGCTAAATCAACGATCCTGAATGTTGTTGGAGTCAACGAATTTGGTTATGGAGGCTATTGTAACAGCTACAGCTCAAAGTTTTAATTCTGGCCTAGAAGAGCCATTATGTCAAAGGAAAGACCTAAAGCATAAATTGTTGCTACAGGGCTCAAGCTCTCTATCTGTTGAACCCATCAATCAGGGCATCAAGACTTCCTCATTTGTCTTCTTCGAATTCGTTCTTTTTCATGAAATTCATCATTCTCCATTTTTCATTTACTACAGTATTTATGTTATTTGGCACCACGTAATTAAAGCAGATTCAGATCGTCGTTCGAAGATAAATGTCAACGGTAAATCAAGCTATGCTCATGAATACTCCAACACAACATCGTTGGATGAGCAACCTATTGTTCTGGGCAACAAAACGATGGGTTTTTCATAACCTACTGAACATTAATTGCCGGTGAATCAAAAAGATGGCATACTGCTCACGTAGACTTCTGGACGTCTAGGTACAAAGAGACCGTGTGACATATGCTGTGAATTTCGGTATTGTAGGATACGGTACTGTCGTCCATATCAGCATTCAGCCATGAATATTGGCACGTGAAACAGCCCTTGGTCCCGCCCTTTTCCGTGCAACAATCATGCAAGCTCGAAAAGTCTGTGAGGCAGCAAGCGACAGTTAGTCGGTGCCTCGGTAGGGAAAGTAGTGCCGCGACAAAGGTTGCGCTTTTAAGGTTGCCTGATAACCTCTACGCTTTCTTTGTTTTCGTAGACTTCCTCTAGCGATTTTCAAGGTCCGCAGATGATTAATAACTCTGTTAGGGGGTGGAATTTCTCCATCGAGATCACGAATATGGTTCACATCCACCTTTAAGTAGATGAGACAGACTAACGAGGGCCATGCTTCCGCACCTTTTCAGTCAAACCGATGTAGCACACCAAATATAATCCGGTAATTGACAGAAAAAATCAGCTATGCCATAAATTACTGATCAGCAAAGCAAGGTAAAGAATAGTAGCTGAGCTCATTCGACATGTAACGCAGCAAAGCAAGG